CTATCACTAATCTGATCTTTGCCGCAGACACATTGGAAAATTAAACCTAAATGTCCTGAAATAAATCACAGTGATGAATATGTAATATAAATATTTTTAGACACAAATTTTTACATTTTAAACAAATTCAGACAATTTTAAACACATTCAGACGCTTTTAAACAAATCCAGACACTTTCAGACAAATGCAGACACTTTTAAGCAAATCCAATCACTTTTAAACCAATCTTGGCAAATTTAGACAAATCCAGACCATTTTAAAGCAGTCCAGACTATTTTAAAGCAATCCAGGCAATTTTAAAGTGATCCAAACATTTTTAAAGCAATCCAGGCAATTTTAAAGCAATCCAGAGCATTTTGAAACAATCCACACAATTTAAAATCAATACAGACCATTTAAAAGCAATCCAAAGCTTTTAAAAACAATCCAGACAATTTAAAAGCAATCCAGACAATTTTAGAGCGACCCACATAATTTTAAAGCAATCCAGACAGTTTTAAAGCAATCTAGACCGTTTTAAGGCAATCTAGTCAATTTTAAAGCAATTTAGACCATTATAAAGAAATCCAGACAGTTTTAAAACAATCCAGATAGTTTTAAAATAATCCAGACAATTTTAAAATAATTCAGACAATTTCAAAGCAATCCAGACAATTTTAGAGTAATCCAGACAATTTTAGAGAGATCCACATAATTTTAAAGCAATCCAGACAGTTTTAAAGCTACCCATACCATTTTAAGGCAATCTAGTCAATTATAAAGCATTTTAGACCATTATAAAGAAATCCAGACAGCAATCCAGATAATTTTAAAGCGATGAAAATAATTTTAAAACAATCCAGACAGTTTTAAAGCAATCCAGACAGTTCCCAACAAACCTAGACAATTTTAAAGCGATTGGCATTTTTTGAGCAATCCAGACCGTTTTAAAGCAATCCAGACAATTTTAGAGTAATCCAGACAATTTTAAAGCAATCCAGACAAATTTAAACACATCCAGACAACTTTAAATGCATCCAAACATCATTATACAAATCCAGACATTTTTAAAGCCAAAAAATCACATTAATCACAACAATTACTCTATTCATTTAGTCTTTAACATTTATTACCTTTCTCTGATTTTTCCAAATCCTTCAATTTCTTCTCAAATTTCTCGTAAAATGCTTTAAGACTTCTATTCGTATATTTCCCAGGAAATTTGCCATTGCTTTTTCTCATCAGCTTGCTGAACAAAAAGTGCGAATGATAGGACGGAGATTGTTTTTGACTCAAAGTAAAATCAGTCTTTTTTAAAGTTTCTTCTAGCAATAATAAGTCTTCTTTATCATCACACCAATTCCTAATGAAAAGAAAACAGTGAAAATAAATAAACAAAATATTCATATATGGATAATGGATACATTTAATACTTACATTACTTTTCGTGGGTTCATTAAGATTAATGATAGAACTTCCACGGATTTGCCCAAGCCCATTTCATCAGCCAAAATGCCACCAGTCGGCAAAGATTTTACAACAGGCTTAACACAAGTCAAGTACTGTAAATTTTCAGAGTAATAAATCAAAGTTCCATCAGGTGATTCCAATTGTATATAGAGAGGATTTAGAATATCTAAAAACAGAAGCAATTAAACAATATGATCAAAATTATAATAAAAGTATAGTTTACTACCTTCGTTATCTTCGTTATATTCTCTATGAATCATCCATCTAACAGCATCCCCTTGATATCGTCTAAGGGTGGGTCTCAGGTGTCGATGTTGAACACTCAACATGATATTTTCTGATATGCTTTCATCAGAGTGAAACTTTTTTAAGAACTCGTATATCACATTTGGATCTTGAGCATTTAATTGCTTGTCTTTCCATGCCGGAGTCTTTTCCTTATTAGCTAAAAAAAATAACAATAGTAAATACAAGTACAATTTATTTCTTGGGCTAATTGTACAATAAATATTTCTTTTTAAAAAAACAGTTAAAGTCAAAATTTGTACATCACTAGGCACAGTTTATAAATATGCTGATCTAGTGCATTTGTTTACATTTTGGACTGTAGCTCTCTCACTAATTTTAATATCCGATTATGTTATAAGAAAAGTTTGTAGCAAGATAAAGTTTTCACAAATATTTCATACATATTAAAATCGTACAATGAATATTTCTATTTTTCAAAATTGTTAAAGTCAAAATTTGTACATAACTAAGCACAGTGTAAATGTACTGATCTAATTCATTTGTTTACGTTTTAGGCTGTAGTTCTTAAACTAATTTTAATATCAAATTGAATTATTAGAAACATTTCTAGCTAGATAAATTTCCAACACATTTTCCATACACCATAAAGTCGTACAATGAATATTTCATTTTTTTTTAAATTATTAAAAACAAAATTTGTACACAACTAGGCACAGTGTAAATATACTGATCTAGAGCATTTGTTTTCGTTTTGGGCTGTAGCTCTTCTAATTTTAATATCAAATTGAATTATTAGAAAAAATTTCTAGCTAGATAAATTTCCGACATATTTTTCATACATCATAAAGTCGTACAATTAATATTTCAATTTTTTTTAAATTATCAATAATAAAATTTCTACACAACAAGACACAGTGTAAATATATTGATCTAGTGCATTTGTTTACATTTTAGGCTGTAGCTCTCTCACTAATTTCAATATCCGATTATCTTATATGACAAGTTTCTAGCTAGATAAATTTTCTACAAATTTTTCATACACCACAAAGACATTCGATAAATATTTACAATTTTTAAAAAATGTTAAAGCCAATTAAGCCAATATATATCATAGCCCTTACTATGATACAATACAATGAAGCATAAGTATTTATTTACATTTTTTGCTGTAACTCTCTAACTAATTTTAATATCCGATTATATTATACGACAACTTTGTAGCTAGATAAATTTTCTTCAAATTTCTTATACACACTAAAGTCATACAAAGAATATTTCTATTTCTAAAAACCAGTTAAAGTCAAGAATTATTTATCACTAGTACATTTGTTTACGTTTTGGGCTCTAGCCTTCTAACTAAATTTAATATCCGATTATATTATATGACAAGTTTGTCGCTAGATATATTTTCTTCATGTTTGCCATACACTATAAAATCGTACGATAAATATTTCTACTTTTTTTTTAATGTTAAAGTCAAAATGGGCTAAAACAGTAATAGTTTTGACCTTACTCACGTCTTTAGAGAGATTAGACTTTCTTTTAGTCATAACTAATAGGTGTTTATTAGAAAAGAGAAAAATCCAACATATACATATTGATTTTAGGAAAAAATAACTATCAACGTCACTAACTAAATAAAATAACTTATAGTCCAAAATGTGAAAAATTGCATTAAATCAGTTGGTTATTAATACTGTGGCTAGTAATATACAATTTTCGACTTTAACAAGTTTTTAAAAATAGAAATATTTTTTGTATGACTTTATTGTGTATGAGAAATTTGTAGAAAATTTATCTAGCTAGAAACTTGTCATATAACATAATTGTATATTAAAATTAATTAGAGTGCTACAGCTCAATAATTTAAAAAATGCTTGGGTTCAGTATATTAAAACTGCTTCTTGTGGTACTTATTTATAACAATTTTTTAATAGTAAAAATTGAAAAGAATAAAAATAAAATAGTTTGAAATGTAAAGTTTGTATTTAAAATTTGTCTAAGTAACAAATATAATCGTTTATATTAAATATATAAACAATATGTCCTGCATATTATTTTATATACTTAAATATCTATTTTATTACAACTGCTTTTTTACAATTTTATTGTTAAATTAATTTTTGTACAAAAAGGCTAAATCAATCGTGTCATATGTCCTTTATTACTTCAAAATAATAAACTGTATAACAATTTTATGTAAATCATAATTAACAAACAGATAATTCGATTCAATTGATAAATGTATAATTTTTTTTGCCATACCTAATATCTGCTCCTTATAAAAATAATTAATAATACTGTCAAGTTTTGCATTGCACTTGATATAATCGCATTTCCATATTACTTTGATATAAACGACATTCTTTTCTGATTCTGTGGGTTCTACAATATCAAACTCAAATCCTTTGGTTTCAGCGATACCTGAAATTGAATGAGAGACAATAATTTTAGACAAAAATCTTATGTTGAATCTTAATATACTGAAAATATTGTAAATGTTCTGAAAATGCTGTAAATGACCTAAAAATGTTATATAAGTCAGTGTAAGTCGTCTAAATATATTTTAAACTGCCTGTGTGTAAGTTTACTATTAATATTTATTATAATTTAGTCTAAGTCTTTTGTGATATGTATTTATAAGTTAGTATATTTTAACAGATTGAGATAGATAATAGTAAATCTTATGTTAAACATTATTCATAGACATAAGGTAAATGATTAATATACTTACACATAAATACATGTCGGAGCTTTTGATCTATTTTAAAACTATCCGAGACTACTAACAAGTTATTATCACAATCATCTTGAGTTATTTGTATTTCTTTCGGTTTATTAAACAAATTGATGCACGTGTTTAAGGTTAGGACAGGTTCTATAGGAATGTTACCGATGTAAATCGACATTATTACGTACTCTGTATTTTTATATCTTTAACTAACAGTGGCAGCATTTGTAGTCTATTTTTACGAGAAATTATTCCATAAACATTATTTTGCAAAACGAATTTAAGCGAAACAACGCTGGAAGGAAGCCATAACTGTCGAAGTAGGTTCACAAAAATGGCACTGAAGTGTAGATGCAAATAACGACTTTATTTAAAAAAATAATAAAATAAAAACTATAAAAATCATTATCGGATATGAATAACGATTAAAAGTAGAAACTTTTGCATTTTTTTTATTTGAAGTGTTCTACAAAATCTATTAAGGAAAAAGAAACGACAAATTTAATAGCAATGTTTATTTATCTATGATCGCAACTGTCAAAGTATGTTCACAAACAAGACACCAGAATAGAAGCGCTAGTGTAGTTCCAAAAACATTTTCATCTCAAACTTCAAAATAAAACTAACACGTAAAAATATAAATATATTTCAATTACCATGGCGGATGATGATTTGGACAAAATTCGTCAACAAAGACTTGCTCAATTGCAAGCACAATACGGGGTATGATAAAACAAAACTACATTTCGAAAATTCGTTATAACCTCAACTTTGAAACATCTGAACACATTTTAGGGCGGAGAAGGTATCGAAAAACAAAAGGCTCAAGAAGAACAAGTTAAGGCTGTAGAGGATGCTAAAAATTCCATTCTGGCACAAATATTGAGCCAGTCTGCTCGAGCACGATGTAATTAAAAATAGATAGTAGCTAACCTCAAAATGATGGACAATTGTTGTTTGGCAGTTGCAGTCTTATTTATGAGGGGCCCGAGTAAAGGACATATGTCCATGTTTTGAAGGGTTCATTAATTATTTATTAGAGACTCTCCTAAAACTTTATAGATATCTACATTGTGACTTGTATTAGTTGTACAACTGAAGGATAGTTGTCATTTAATGGTCATTTTATGAAGTCTTGTTTATGAAAGGCTTCTTTAGAATTTAATAGAGAACAAGAAAAGAAAATTATATCTGTTTTATTCAACTAAAAAGAAAGAGAAAACGAGAGTATTTGGAAGTGTGTTGCATTTTCTGAAAGTGTTGTAAATGGTCCAAAAAGTTGTGAATGTGGTCTAAAAAAAGTTGTAAGCCTAAAAATATTGTAATCTGTCAATTATGTTATAATTTTACCTCTTATTTCAGTGAATACAATAAAAATTAGCAAACCCGAAAAAGCTCAAATGGTCGAACAGATGCTAGTGCGCATGGCCCAGAATGGACAGCTACGTGGCCAAATCGATGAACCTCAATTGATAGAACTCTTGCAAAACGTAAACCAGCAAATGCCCCAAAAAAAGACAAGCGTGAAATTTGACAGGAGACGTGCTGCCTTAGACTCTGATGACGAATTCTGATTAAACCTGTCTTGTGTTCAATAAAACTTGCAATTGCTTTTTATATTATATGTAATTCATTGTTGACTAGATCATACATAAAAATCATACAAAATGTAATGAACTCTTGGCTCTTATTCTTTCTTTTCATGGCCGTCATCTGAAATTTGAAATTGCATTGATATTATTTAATATAAGAGATCAAGGATTAAGTTTAAATGTTTGTTTAAATGTATTAAATGAATAAATATGATTAAAATACCATTGTCGCTGTCTTCTTCATCGGCATCTAGAATATCAGCACAGCATATGGAGTAGCATATCAGTCCGAGAAATCCACAGGGTAATCCGAATAATACAGCAGTTAAGACAGGATTTCCATGCCACATATCGGAAAGGGTTGTTCTGGCTTCAAAATATGCTCTATACATTCGAACAGGAAAACTATTCCCGCCATAGGTCTAAAAATATTTATATACTTTATCAGTAATAAAATTATAATTATAAAAATTAATTATTGATTGAAATTTAAAAATACTTTTACCTGCTAATATAAATTGTATAAAAATATATTTTAATGTATTTGAGAAGATAGAAGATGTGTTTTTGCTTTATGATGTCTTTTGTTAGCGTATTCAAATATTTACAGTAACAGCTCTATTAAATTTAAATTATACATCATTAATAGAAATAAAATCAAAGGAATTTGAATTTAGAAAAAACAGCACTATTGGGAAGATATATGGGGAAAAAATGGGCAAGAAAGTTGTACATATAAAAGTGCTGTTTCAACTCATTTTATTCAAAATTTTGATATGCAAGTGTATATAACAGCTTGTACAAGATTTTAGAAAATTTTGTCTAGTTTTTACTAATGTGAACAAATTATTATGTCTGGGAAGAAAATTTAAAGTTATTTGAAGAAATGTAAGAAAACGCACTAAATCCATGTATTGAAAATTATCCAAATATTATAATCCGCACTTCAACTACAAATTAATCAAAATTTTGACATACAAGTGTGAACAACAGTTTTTACTAGATTTTAGTACTTTTTATCTAGTTTTTACTAATATTAACAAATTATAAGAAGAAAAGGGAAAGAAAATTTAAAGTTATTTGAAAAAAAGTAAAAAAAAATGTACTAAAATCATATACGTATAGCAAATTATGGAAATACGAAAGTCCGCATTTCAACTACAAATTATTCAAAATTTTGATATCCAAGCATATAAATAGTTTGTACTAGATTTTAGTAAATTTTATCTAGTCTTTACTAATGTAAATCATTTATAATGTCCGGAAAGAAAATTAAAAGTTATTCGAAGAAATGTAAAAAAATTTACTAAGTCCATATAATGCCAACTACCGAAATACTAAAATCCACATTTCAATTATGAATTATTCAAAATTTTGATATCCAAGTGTGTATAACAGTGTTTACTAGGTTTTAGTAAATTTTATTTAGTTTTTACTAATGTGAACAAATTATAATGTCCAAGAAGAAAATGTAAAGTTATTTAAAGAAATGTAAAAAAATGTCCAAAATTCACAACTACAGATTATTAAAACACTAAATTTCGTATTTCGATTGCGAATTATTCAAAATTTTAATATGCAAGTGTATAAAATAGTTTTCATTAGAAATTAGTTAATTTTATTCAGTTTTTACTAATGTAAATAAATTATAATGTCCGGAAAGAAAATTAAAAATTATTTGAAGAAATATAAAAAAAATATCCTGCAAATTATGAAAATACAAAAGTCCGCATTTCAACTACAAATTATTCAAAATTTTGATATCCAAGTATGTATAACAATTTTTACTAAGTTTTAGTAAATTTTTATCTAGTTTTTACTAATGTAAACAAATTATAATGTCCGAGAAGACAATTAAAAGTTATTGGAAGAAATGTGAAAAAATGTTTCAAGTTCATATAATGCAAACTACGGAAATACTGAGGTCTGTTTTTCAACTACAAATTATTCAAAATTTTGATATACAAGTGTATATAACAGATCTTAGTAAATTTGATCTAGTTTTTACTTATATAAACAAATTATCATGTCAGCAAAAGAAAATTAAAAGTTATTTAAAGAAATGTAAAAAAATGCCCAATTTTTACATATATTACCAGAAGGTAAATGTTCTAACAAGTTTTATTCAAAATTTCATTATGTAAGTATATACAAGAATTTCTACTAGTTTTAGTAAATTTTATCTAGTTTTTGCTGATAAATACAAACTAAAATGTTTCAAATGAAAATTTTGCGTGGTTTGAAAAAATGTAAAAAAAAAATGACCTAGTTGCTAATTATCAAACACATAAATAAACATCAAAAAGCTAAATCAATCAAACAAAAACTATCATTTAAATCTTTCAATATCAATTTAAATCAATATCATTTAAAATTGGTACCATTCAAACGTGAGAAATACTCTCACCAGCATTTGTGATAAGTGTTTTTATCCTCCTCGCTTAAAGTGTATCAAAATCTACTTACAGGAGCAGATTGGTTTCCAATTTGTTCCAAAAACACAACAAGTGCATCGTGTGTCAATCTAGCTGGTTCGTCTTGTGGCAAATGATGATGACTCGTTGTTGAATTAAGAACCAAAAGATGAGGTACTGGCAGATCGCTCATGGCTATTGAATTGGCCAACTCTGGAGACCCAATCCATCCAAATTGGAAAGTGGAATGGAATTGTTCGCGACGTTGCCTAAAAAGATAATAAAAATATTATTTTTAGTAGAGTAGTTTCTTTAGATATTTTTAATATCATTTATGATTATTACCTTATCACAGATTCAACCATATCACGGAACTCCAACTGATTGGCCTCAATTTCATTCAATTTGTTCTCTTCAACAACCGCAAGTACGATGTACTTTTTGGTTTGTAATATTTGATTGATGTTACCTCGAGTGACCTTCGGGAATGTTCCAAATCTCTCTTCATTCACCCATTGATACAGAGTCTCATTGAGTATTGAGCTGCTGAAAGAGTCATCTGGAAAAAGTAGAATATTAGTCCTGAAATATAATGAAATGAAATAATATGGCAAATTACATGTAAATTTGTAGTGATCCTTTTCCTTTATTACAAACACTGTTGGTGCGTGGTCTTCAATTAACGGAAAGTGTTCTTTTGAAACTTCATGAGATGCAGCGTAAAAAAAGCAATGCGGTTGGAACACCTCAGATATCGAATGGAATGATTTCTGCAAAATAATGCTCAACACATAATTGGCTGAAGTGAATTATTTTAATATATTAATTTTTTATACCCATAAGGCTCCATTTTGTTTTCCAACATATACAAAGAAAACATTGACAGAATTTTTCAAATTAGTTAATACTTCGTGTCTTGGAATTACTTGTACAGGGGGACCCTTCATTCTATGAGCAAATGCTAAGAGTTCCTCTTTTGTTCTGTCTCCATGGTAAATGTGATCTTGTTCGCCTTTCAAGCTGTATATAAAATTGCCAAAAATTAATCATATTGATTAAAAATTAATTATATTGGTCAAAAGTAGACGACAATTGCTAAAAATAGACTAAAATTGCCTTGAAATTTTATTAAATCTACTTACAACATGATAGTCGGAAACCCTTGCACTTTAAATTTAGTTGCAATATGTGTGTATCTGGTACAATCCAATCTGCCGACTCTTATAGTAGTATGGTGCAAGGCTTGTGCAACATGAGCCCAAACTGGTTCCAGTCGTTTGCAATGGGCACACCATGGAGCGTAAAACATAACTAACCACTGGCCATCGTTACGAAGGTCTACAAATCTATCGCTTAGTTCTAATACTCTGGAAGAAGTAGTAGTATGTAGTAATCCTAAAAGAGAAAATAATTATTACTCACAATCCTTGATACAAACTTGAATAACTCAAACTTAAAATAATACATGTTAATATATACTAAATGAATATTGAGTAGAAGCAACTAATTTAAACTAAAAAGTGAGGTTATGTTATATTGATTTTTGCATATTTTTTTTAATTCTTACCACATAGTGCCAGCACTAACACAATATTAAAAGCATACATTTTGCCTAGTATTAACATCATTCAAACCATTTACAATGTATTTAAAAAGCTTTGTTTTTCATGTTTGCAAATTTAAGGATGTGTACAGTAAACTAATAATCCATCTGCTTTTTCCATTTGCACATGTTTTAATTTAATCGCAACATAATTATTTTTAAATGTGTTGTTAATATATCAAAATATATACAGATTTTCTCATTTATTTAAATATTGATGCAGAAACACAAACCAATGTAACAATACAGACAGTTGTGAGTAAATTCAATAAGTAAATGTCAAAAACCTAAAGCTCTTTCCGCACCAAATTTGGGTTCAAATTTTTAACTCAGGCTATGTATTTAATCTAATTTTAAAATAAAATGGAGAAATATTGATGTCTGATTATTCAATTTGTCAAAGAAGTTAATAATTAATAAATAAAAATACATATTTCAAAATTCTAATTATACAACATGAAGTGTGTAAAGAGCCTTCAAAACAGTGCCATCTATCCACTAAAAGCTACAAACTCACAAAATGTCATTCACGTTTTGTCAACTGAAAAATAAATAAAATATATGTCAATAACAAATATCTAAATGGATATTACAGAACTATTTAAAAGCTGTGTCAAAACAGTTCAAACCCGAAACAAAGGTTTCGGAGTCCCTGAACAACAAAAAGTCAAAAACAGAATCCTAACCAAACGTGGCAAAACCGATTTCATGTTCCAAGCAAAAGAGATAACATTCCAAATGACAAAACTACGTGATATCCTTTTAGAAAACAAATGCCTACATACATTTATGAAGCCTACTGATATAAATTTCTTTATTACTCTAAATTTGTATTACCAATTCAATTCGTAAAATTAACATCATAGTAATATATATAATCATCTATCATATAATACATAATTTCATATCATATAATTACATAATTTTCATTTACATATCATA